GAATATTTTCATCTATATCATCTGTATCTTTAAACCAGCACAGAAAAGCAAATATGGAATTGTTAAAAGCCAGATTGAATTTCTGCATAGTACTATTGGATTGAAATGAATAACTCATGCATGTCTTCAGCTTGTGTGTGTCTTAAATCCTTTTCAATGCTCCATGTCCCTATAGAACTAATTTTCACTTATGTTTATCAGCATCTGACTCTTTTCGGATACTTGCTTCTCCTTAGTGGATGCCGCTAGTCCCTCCACATTTTATCTGTTGCCTTTTTGAAACTGTTTTCCACCAGCATGCAGTATAAAATGCTTATTCATTAGATGGATCAGTGGTTATTTTAAAATAATTTCCAATGGCAGAAGGACCCAAAGGGGTAGATTATAGAAAAGCAACAAAGAGTTAAATCAGTGCTAATTTGATCAAAATGAGGTGATCATCTCTTCCTTTTGAGCTGCTTACAAAAAGGATAAAAAGACAAGGGTGGGGGGCTTTTTTCCTCAGCTGCTCTTCTTTTTGGTATAATTAACTCCTTTCTTTATTCCCCATCCTTTGTCTGTACCATGCTGGGCATGGTGAGTTCATAAATGGGTTCTCATGTATTCAGCCTTAAATGGCTGTTATGAAACAGGAGTGTCCTTGATGGGCATGGGTGACATGCAGGCTGATGTGAAAGAGGAAATTTGATGGGGGGTGATGAGAAGAGTGCTGCTTAACGTGCTAAATTGGGTGATCAAGCTTAATTCCACACAGACTCTTGTCTAAGAAGCTCAGAACAGCACATTCCAAGGGTGCCTTCAGAAGCAGACTTACACAAGATTGGTATACCTTGGGCATGTCACATTATCAATTTTAGAATTTAGAATTTTAGAATTCAGGAGATATTTTGAATTTATATTTTGGATGAGAGCGTTATTTGCTTTTTCCTTATCAATTTCATTCTATAAGAAGGTCTTTATTTATCTTTTTGTCTTGCAAACATGCTAAATGAGTTAAATTAAATGAAAAATTAAGTTAAATAAAAAGTATATAAAATATCTACATTTATTAGCATCAGTGCTACAGACCTCTTAAAAACAGGAGTAGGCTCATGTAATCATAATCATAAAGAATTCCTTAAATCCAGACAGCAGTATTAGATAGTGAGATCACAGGAACCATTTAGGCCTTGAATCAGGATTCTAAGATTCTACCACAGAGATCAGGGAATTCTTCAAAACATGCCACCAGCAATACTTCACGTGATAACATTCCATCCAGCTGGGTGTATTTCGGTTGTACAGTATCTGTGGGAGTGGGTGCAAAGAAAAAGCTATTGATTTTAACTTTGCTATAAGGGAATGAAAGTGCAACATTTTTGTGGGTGAACAATTATTTTGATTTAAAAAAAATGTTTTCGTTCTCTACACAGAAATACAAAATAGGTCAAAGTTCTCTATTCACTTTCAACAAAATACAGACAATGGAATTTTGTGGGTGGGTGGTACCTTCATCATGTGCTGCACTGATAATGAAAGCTTAAGGGCATGTTGAAATGTTATCACATCATTTATATCAATTTCATCAATTTCCCTACGGGATTAATAAAGTATTATCTATCTGTCTATCTATATCACTCTGTTTGAATCAAATAACTGATATAATAATGATTTATATCATTCTATGTGAATCTAATAATCTAATTACTAATAACCTGATAGAGTAATATCTACAAGCTTTTGTGGGGCTAAGTATAATTTAAAGCCACCATTTAAGATTAACTTGTATGTTTGTGTTGGAATAACTTCTACATAGATTCATTTACAGATTACTGAACCCATGTGATTATGAAAGAATAATTCAATAAAGTACCGTAAGAAAATATGTACTGTGTTTTGTTATAAATGAGAATTTCTTCTCAAGTTACATGCCTTTTAAAATAAAGGAAAAAAATCTGACCCTTTATTTAATCTACCACAATTTGTTACTCAAATCAACACTTTTAGACACAAAGCCAATTGTGTAGAAAGCTGGTGGCTATTCAATTCTGGCTGGCAGCCTTCAGTCTTTGCTTGTGAACCAAATTGTATTCATCTATTTTTTTCTATCAAGAAAGAACAAAAAAAATATCATTTCACCATCCGTTCCCAAAAACCTATGCAGTATTCTTAAAATGACTCAAGCAGGTGAATGACTCAGTCAAGCTGGACTCCAGTTTTGAACTCATCAAAAGCTCAATTGAAACATGTTGCTTAATTAGTTTTTGGGCAAACGGTAGTTGTAAAAGTCTGAATTATTTTTGCATTTTACTGAGAGTTAGTGGTAGGTACATATAACTGGGATAACATACTGCACCTTGAAAACATATTCAAACTCTTGAGCAGTGTTAATATAGTGTTATTTTAAAGCTTGACGTCATTTTGAAGTAGAAATGTATATTTTGATATGCTGTACAATCTACCCCACATATTCAAAGCAAAAAAATAAAAATAAATAAAATGTAAAAGTCTTGATTGCATAAGTATGCAAACCGTTTACTGTGGTACACCTAAATTAAATGAGGTGCCAGAATTACCTGAGATGGCTGAAAAGGTTCATGGGGCAACAATATCCCAGGCATTCCACGAAGGAGGTTTATACTGTATGGGATTGAAATTAAAAATATCTCAAATCCCACATTAGAACAATTGGTCAGACAAGTCAAAACCTAGGCCTTTTGGCCTAGTGCATCACTCAGTCAACACCATCTTTTCTGTCAACCTTGGTGGTGGCAGCATTATGTAATTGTTTTATATTGTGAGCAGGGAGTGGGAAGCTTATCAAGACTCGTGGAAACAGATGGAGCAAAGTATTAGATACTAACAAACTAGATACTAGATACTAGATATTAGATCCATACATCCATACATCCATTTTCTAACCACTCTTACAACTCAGGCTCCTGGAGGAGCCTATCCTGGCAAGCAACTGGCACAAGGCAGGGGACACTGTGGACAGGACGCCAGTCTATCGTGGTGCAGACAGACACAACCACAGACATGCACACACCCATACTGTATACTGTTCAAGTATACACTTTGCCACAGTTTTGCTGGTATTTATTGTAACCTAATTCACCTGTAAAAGCCTTCATTTTGAAAAATTTCAGCCTTTGAATAAAGTTTAAATATGTATATGCATTTACTTTGGAATATCAAAAAATGGAATACCGTAGAAAAGGTCTGAATACGTTTGCAAAGCACTGCTTAGAAGAGAATCAATAAAATATAAAAGCTGCTAATATATGATTTCTCAGTAATAGTGGCTACTATTAAAAGGAAAATTATAATAGTGTGTAGATATGCGGTATTTAAGTATTACCTGCACATTCAAAAAAACATTTGCAGTCACTAAGCTTTTCAATGTGTTGCTGTTGCTGCAAGACCAGAAATGCATAGTTACTCTGACGTTTTATTCTTTGTTCAGTGCCTCCTAATAGAAAGATACTGTAGATGTCTTTTATTAATACATATGCAAATATTCTCATGAGCAAGAAATCTCACTTATGCACTAACATCTTAAATTATATTCATTTAATCATAGACAGGAATTTACTCAGGTATTTTTTTTACCTTAAAATATTTTCTCATCTGCCCAGACTATAACACTAATTTGTTGAAAGTCAGCACATTATTTCAGAAAGGTGCAATGTCATTTCAGTGAGGAAATGAATTATGCTACACAACATCCCTACATTGTAACTCTGATTGAGTTTTTTCTATTATCCTGCCTTTAAGCAGTTCACACATATAGGTGTGTGTGATGCAGCAGCAAAGCAATGTTTTTGTTGGAAATGTTATCAATAGTCAAATGAGGACCACTCCCCCTCTGTCTTTCCTGAACAGTTTATCTCTCTTTCAACACCATCCACCAAATTTTGTCTAATTCCTGTAATGCTGATAATGCCATAAACCTCTGCATTCACATAAATTCCAAAGTCTAATACTTTGGGATTAATGTTTCTGGCATTTAAACATATTGAAGTTAGAGTGCATTTTTTCTGTAGCTGTATTACCCCCTTTAACTTCTGAAACACGGCCAGGTTTTGTTTTTATAGACAACCCGTTGGTGAGATTGGTACAAAAGTGAGCGCTCAGCTTTTTCAAAGGTGGAGGCTATGGTTCAAAAGCTGAGAATGGAAAACTTTTCTACCACTCACTGAACAGAAGACCTGGCCATATGCTTCACTTTGTGCCACTATTGGGACATTTGTGGTGCATTTGAGAACCGCAGACCTAAAGTCTTCCTTTATAAGCTCTGCACGGGTTGGCGTGAAAATTGAAATAGCAGCTACTACCATGCTCAATCCGAAAACTAATTAAATCAATTGTCTTTTTTCTTTTAAAGAAAGACCACTGAATAAATTACCTGTAAGACTGCTGCTATATTAGTAACAATCCTGTAAATGATACTGATTTCTAGATTTACTCTTTTTCATGCAAAATATAAGTACTTGTTTCTATGGCAAGAAAAGGGCACTGGTAAAAGCTTGCATCAAAGTGTCTAACAACTCTGCCATAACACTGTTATATTTTTAGATTAAAGCAGGCAATAAATACAATTTTAATTTTATTTTAATGTAAGCCATAGTTGAATATAAATGTGGGAATTCCTGCCATGAAAAACTACAGAGAAAACTATAGTAGCTGAAATAAAGCTAGGGTTTACACAGAAATAAAAGACTCAACCTTTTTTTATTACATTTTTACATAACATTGTCTTATGCAGAATTTTTCTGTTAACAACTGTAACTGGGATGTAACTGCAACAATCTCCTTGCAGGATACCATTCCCTTAAGATAAACACTGCTGCACATTCAGTGTCTGTCAAGGTTAGGTTGATGATTAAGGGTAGGGATAGATATGTGTGAAGATACACAGTATGAGGAATCACATCTCATGGATTTGGAGTTTTTAAGGGGATGAATTGAAAATGTGTGATGTGAATGCTGTTCTCCATTCCCCATTCCCCGAAGCTTACCCTCCTCCAGCTCGTCCATGGAGGTGATCTTGCGAGATCCGTCGATGGTGAAGATGAAGCGCACCCCCTGTGGCAGGTTGATGTGGTCAGAGAGAGAGCGGGTGAGGTCTGCTAGCAGGGCGTCGAAGGTGCGGAAGCGGTCAGTAGCAACGGCATAAACGATACCCTTGAAGTACCGGTCGCCGTTGCGATAGAAACGCACTTTCTTGGCTTTCTTCTCATTGGTTAGAGCCTGCAAGGTGCGAGTGCGGTAGAAGCTGCAGTGAGCGCTGTGCGTGGGGCTGGGCAGCCCGTTCATGCGGGCCCCCTTTGTGGTCCTGGAGGTCTTGTCTCTTTCATCAAAGTGTCCGAAGTCTAGCTCCATAGTGACACACAAGTTGTGGAATGTCTGTGGTGGGGTTTGGAGAGCTGAGGAAATATGGAAAAGAAGCAGACAACTTGGTCACTGACTGGACTGAAATAAATGGATCTAATCAAGACATTGATACATTATAGAGAAGAGAAAAGGCTACTTTTTTACTGTTGGGTTGCTAATTAGAATAATAATAATGTTTCTTTATTAGCCCAATACAGTTTCTTGCATTAGGAATTTGTCTTTTTGCATACCCCAGCTTTTTTTCTCCATGAAGACAGACAGGGAGAGAAGCTTGGGTCAGAGCGCAGGGTCTGCCATTGTACAGCACCCCTGGAGCAGTTGGGGTTAACGGCCTTGCTCAGGGGCCCAACAGAGTAGGATTCCTCTGCCAGCCATGGGATTTGAACCAGCAACTTTCCAGCCACAGGCACAGATCCTTAGCCACAAAGCCACCGCTCCACCCCATGTGCTGTACATTAATCTAGATCATTGATATGAATTACGAAGAGCAATTGTCATAATTCAGAATTCTGATTCAGATCTTAACTACATTACCCCAATTTACTGTAAGTAGTTCTCAATCCAGAAATATGCATTACATTTATTATACTATATTATAATATTATGTTTTATACTGTTATAAAGAACATTATTCTAAAAATATACAGTTAACATACCATATCCAATGAATTGATTTAGTCCTACGTAAGACCTACCTTTTCTCACTCCATTTTAGCTACCCCCCACAATTCTATTTCCATAAAGATGACCCACCTCTAGTGCCTATAGTAATTGTGCTAATATTATTTAATAGTGAACTTTGTCTTCTCTTAGTTTGAGAATTGCAGTAAATGTCTTTCTTGGTAAACACTAATTTAAAAGACTAATCATTTCCCTTTCATCTAATTAAAAAAATAAAATATTAGTCCCACTATTTTCTCTGAAAATCAAGTTATTTCATAAACATTTCATGAAAAACATACTATAGTATTTTAATATTTAGTATGAATATCCTTTTTACTGCCAACTCACTGTACTCTCTTTGGCTGTTTTTTTTTCTTACTCTTTAAAGCATTTTCTTTCTCCTTATATTTGTATGAATTGATTCATTATGTCTGGGAGTATCTGAAATCTACACTTTTATTTACTTTTGGGAATTATCTTTTTTGTGCTTGAAGCTGAGTATTTTTGGGCTGTCGTTCATTCTTTATTGATCTATGTTCTTATACCATTCTATTTCTCCTAATCCCATTCCATCATGGCCCTTCCTGAAATTATAAATCTTTCTTTTAAAGCATGCTATATTATGATCATAGTTCCCTAATGGTTCTCACACCTTTGTTTTCTTCACTCTATCATGGCTCTTTGAAAAGACTGAATCAATACAGACATTCCCTCTAGTGGGTGTTTTGGCAAACTGAATAAGAAAGCAGCTTTAATGTATTTCAGTCTCAGCTGCTTATACACCTGTTGTTTTCCCAGTCTAAGTGGATAAAATTAAAATGTTTCCTTATAACCACTCTTTTTTAGCATGTGAATTCTTGATTTAATTATAGAACATCACTTATAATGTTTATCTGAATTATGTGGTCTATTGCACATACTGTACAGTACTCATCGCCATCATTTAAAAAATTAAATAATAAATAATGGCTGGTAAGGGTCACAATGACCTAATACCTATCCTAGAAGAACATTCCCAAGAAGGGTTTGAGAGCACAAGTGGGGTACCTGTCCATAAGGATATACTGTATAGAAAGAGAATAGCTGAACAAGGAAGAAAGTGGAACATTTATAGAAAACAAATGTGAACGTGGAGAGAACTCCACATCCGACAACAACACATGGGGAGACTTCACAGGTGCTTAAGTCCAGAATCAATCCCAGAACCCATGATCTAAGATGCAATAGCCCCAAAAACCACAGTATTGTGCATTAGATAAATCATCATCATATTCCGAAAAACTGACAGTAAGGAGAAATAAATACATTAAATCTACAGTATCAAATAATGTATTCTGAGAGGTGTTTGCAAGTGTTTTTTTAAGACAGGTTATTATTTCTGATAAAATGATATTATGCCCTGTGAGTCACAAACTTAAAAAAGTCAGAAACATATGAATATCAAAGAGTTAGAATAATTCTTTTGTAAAATCTTGTATTTTTCTTTCACCCAAAGAGCAAAGTAAGCTCTGCATACAGGCTGAACAAAGTTCTGCGTTGAACAGTGTCAGTGCCAAAGAAACCCTTCACAAACATCTGCTCCTTTTAAATACAAACAGTTCTTCAATTGAAAATCAAGCCCCTTTTCTTTACAAAAAAAGATGTGTTCCAGGGAATGTCTGCTCAGGCATTGTCTGTGATGGAGCTCCCACTGTACTTTGCTCTGGCACTTTGAATAATCAAAGGATTAGCCTAAAACGTTTATTTCATTCATAGATCCTTTTTCAAGTGATTGTCTTACATTCATTTATATATTTTTTTAGATACAGTAGACCTGTCTATTATACTGTCAGTACTTTAAGGACCAATATCAATTCTGGAACGAGCAAATCAATGTAAACTAAGAATTTCAGAAAAAATATCTATAACAGCTTTGTTGAGTTGTCTCTGAGTGTTTTATTTGCTCAATGATTCTTTCATTGGCTATGCAATGGAAAAAAACTCTTTAACAAGTCTTCATGAAATGAATCAACCTTAAAAGTCTCAGTTCTGTTCAAATGTTCATTGTCTCTTGTGCAGAGAGAGTGAAAGATACTGTACCCGTTGAAACAATATTTGTGAGAACCCCTAGTTCTATTCATCGAAGTACTGCATCTTTCTTACTGTACATAAATACTTCAAGCAAAGTCGAGGGCCAGTATTCTGCCTGAAAAGAGAAAGCACCTGCTCGCATTGATAGAATTACAAAAATCTTACTTACTAAAGCAAAAGATAAAAATAGGACATTTGCAAGAAACCCCTAATAACACTTCACAAGGAAGTTATTTCCAGTATCAGTGTCACAGTCTTAAATTACTAACTATATTGTGTTTGATAAGACAAGAAATCCAGTGTTTCTACCAGCATTCTACAGCTTCCATGTATGTACTTAACTATCCAAAGTATAATACATTTTTCAAACACAAAAACTTAGTTTAAACCAAATATAATAAATGTTTCATAATCATACAGGTAGGAGGAGATCAAACACAGATAGTACCCAAACAGTATATCTTAAGTTCCCAATGGTATGTAAATTGTCACAGTAAAAAATAATGAATCCTGACTAATTACTTGCATACTTATAAATTTTTTTTTTATATATTTTCTATAGCAAAGCATTGTAAAATAAAGAAAAGGGAACAGAATTGAAAAAAAAATTATATGAAAAACAGCTGGCCTAAATTAACCAGACTAGAACATATGAAGTGAATTCAGATTTTGTTACAGCTGACAACAGACATTTACGCTCTGTATTAACTAAAGAATGTAATTACATTAACAAAGTGATCAGATTCTATTATTTTATGGTTATCAATAACATTAGCTTTAACTTAGCACATCTCATACTATACATTCCAAGGCCCTATATACATATAATACAAAGTAAGCCAACTATTAACTTAATCTTCATCATAAAGCTTTGTTGCTTATAATCCAAATTAAAACTATACTAAACTAAAGCACAATGAGAAATGTTATAATAGTATTTTAAAAAACACTTACCCAGAGCCTTGCATGCTTATCAAAGCAATGCATTATCCCAAAACTCCAGTTTTTAAACAATAAATGAGCACTAGATAAGCACAGGATGTTCTTTCTGTGTCTTATAAAGTCATCAAACAATCTGTTCTAAATTTAAAGACATTGCAATGCAATGAACCTAATATAGAAGGTTGTACATGAAGAACTGTCTTAGATTTAGTCGTTGATCATGATAACTAATAGCATTATTTTGAAAAAAATAACATTGTATTAATTAATTCCAAGGGAAGTTACTAATTTATGTGTTTTTGTTAAGGAGAGACAAGGTCATTGTTAGGCAATGTGAAAAGGAGCATCCTCTTGACATTTTGAATATGAGACTGTAATGTTACAATATGTGTAACCTGAAACCATTAATTATCATCATACCTACGAAATTATTTACAATTAGTAAGCTAATGTCTGAAATACAAAGAACCAGCCAGCATTACTTTGGTCTTATAAGAGCTTTAAAAAAAGCAGATGGAATTCTATTATTTTATTAAATGGTATTTAACATCATAGCCCTTCCTCCAATGATTTGTCTTAATTTAATGATAACCACTAGTCCATGGCAGGGCAATGGAAAATGGTTATTCTCTTTACCCTTCCCCCACCACATAAATGGCAAAACTCAAAGCTTCTCCAGACAGAACTGAAGCATTTTTTAGAGAGTTTCATTTTTCCCATTGGGGATGTGGCAGAAGCTCACATTATGTCATCACATTATGAAGTAAATGTAATGGACCAGGGGGAACCTACATGCTTTTGATTACCCAGGGTATAATGATGATATTCCCATTGTGTGCCATATAGGTAGGTTTATGGAAAAGGAACCAACTACATAGCTCTCTGTTACTTATTAATATAGATCAATGCGCAACACTAGCATGGGATAAATCTTTAAAACATGGGCTGGCAAAGACCTGAGAGGACACAGCTGACACCAAAACGTCACACAGCAGCAATATGGATGAGCTCAGAGTGGAAGCTGTCATTACATTTCTCTCAAGGGGGTTAATAAATGGAAAGTAAGAGGTTTGTCTCCTGACAAGTCCTGCAGTGTTTGCATTGTCAAGATTTTTGAAATAGTGCTAATTGTGATTAAAGCACTCTGTACAAAGGCTCTGCTTTTCACTGTCCTGGTTTATTAGATATAGTAGATTAAATAATACTACTTATATGTTGTAAATGTTTGTGATATGAGAACAATGAGATTAATCTATCTGAGTTTAGGTGATTGATTTGACCAGATGGTTTAGAACAACTGATCAGACCCAATGATAGGCCTATCCTCCTATATGGTAGTTTACCATATTTAATTATTCACAGCTTTGTTTATAATACTAGCATTAGCCATTTATTCAACATTTATTCTGACTAACAATGAGATAATGCAATCATTATTAGTAAAAAGGTAAACAGGTACTAAGAATACACTGACAAATGTTGGATGAAAGTCACATGATTCATAAGGCTGTTGAAATAAATGACTCCAATATGGATCTGTAGTTAGAGTTAGGAAGGGGGAATTCATTCTGTCCACAGTTGACAAAGCATCTTAAATTTATTTATCACATCATCAGTACATCAGTACACTCCCAACAAAAATACCAGTTTCACACGACACAGAAAGAAACTGTTCACTTTTTATCTATTTTTAGAACACAATTAGATTACCATGCGCTGTCCATGTCCCCTCAATTAAATTAAGAGCTCAGCCTTATAATATAGAGTTTGGTGTGCACAACCAATGAAACTGATTTATATAACAATATATTTGCAGCCAAAACAGCTAAGATTGATTACTGAATACCTTGATTCTAAAAACTGTATATTGAGCAATAGAAAATTATCTTCATATGAATCTTCACATGATTTTGCTTTCACTGTTCATCTTTGTGTTACTTGGATGCTGTCTTTAACACATGCAGTTCATAAAAGGCCAGGCCAAATCCACTGGATAAAGATAGGGATTGGTCACGCTTTTTCCATTAAAACCCTTCAGCTCAGCTCAGTCCTGACCTTATATCACTGACCATTTGGTTTAAACAAAGAAATGTCAGCCAAAATGTGTAGTGTTACAGCTTGCCAAGCACATTACAGCTTGGATGGCCTTTGTGACCTGATTTGAACCCAGTTCTTAAAAGATTTACTATCACTTTGTGAATCCCAAGCCATTCTCTGAAATGTAACATCATTTAAATAGGGATGGTTTTATATCTTGCATTGGTGTTGCATCTTAATTTGTGTGCTTAATCCCATTGCTTCACACACACCTCACTCTTCATAAAGCCCTGTGAGCCACACAAAGCTCCATAGCTCATTCCAAGGAAAAAACACTCAGACATTGCCAGTTTGGAAGCACTGGTTTGGTTTTCTCTCAAAAGGTATCTCTTGTTTCTGTAAGTAATAAGTTGCCATAATACCAATTTAGTCAAAATCATATTTGGAGCTTTTTTAGGAAAATACATTAGCATACAGTAGAGGATGGTTTCCATTGATATGATGAAGCAGCAAGATTTCAACTACAAAACCCTTTACTAAGTTCTGTGGGTTATTTTACAACATATATTGTAGCAAAGGGAATGTGGTGTATTCTCCAGTGGTCAACAGTATAAACCCCATCTGCTCCTATAGAAAGAGGTAAATCACTTTGACATTACCCTAGGAAGCTAGTATCCCATTGTTTAACAGAAGACAGAAGGTTGCTTCTTTTGAGCAACTAGAATATTTTAAACTACAGTAATATGAAGGACAAGTACTGAATCAGAGCAGAACAGGATATTTAGTTTAACACTGACACATTCGTTACATCAAAATGACACCTTGGCTTTAACAGAGCATTCACAGCATTTGAGGCAGAGGAAGCTACTGTAGCCATGCACAATAGAAAATCACTGTCTTACAATCAGCACACAACCAAGACTTTCAGATTAAAGGCACGACTTATGATTATTGCTGTGTTTAACCACAGACTATAGCAAGGGTAATTTTAAAAGTTTCAGAGCTTCAGCTATTTTACTTAAATTTCTTGTTTAAAAAAGCACTATGTGTATTGAAAGAGCAAACACAGCAAATAAAATATTTCCTTTGGCAATACGAAAAGGTGTCCATATATTTTCCAACCACCTGCTTCCACTCCCAACGAGATGCATTCATTAAGTAATTCTTTTTCTTAAGGTTTAGAATATCTCACAGACAGATTTGCAGTAGTTAATAAATAAATATTTCTGTGAGTCATATGACCATAAGTACGTAGTAGCTTGAGATTTACATGTATTCCATATCATCTTATTTGCTTTTCTTGTGTAAGTACTCACCCCGTGTCTTGTGCTGCGAGGGTGTGGATGCTGCAGGATAGAGAGACAATCTCACACTGCCTTTGTCTGAGCTACAGCCTGGAGAGCTCTGCTTGGCTGGCAGAGCTGGCTGCTGGGTCCTAGTGTCTGTAAAATTCAAACCACAGATGATCGATATTCACAGTCAGAGAAGCTTTCTGCAGTTATAGCCACTGATGATCTGCTCAATGAAGCAATTGGAAGCAACAAGAAAGACTTATATGAATATCTTTGAAATTATCTTTTTAAGAAGAGATTGAAACAAATACAAGTCTGAGGTAAATCTCAAAGTTACTCAACTCAAGTAAAATGCAAACATATGCATGTTTTTCTTTCGATATATTATGTGATGTAATCCCATATGTAAGGCCTAGATTGTAATCTTTGTTTAAAAAGCTTTCCCTAATGTTTTGTAGAAAAAAAAAACAGTATGTCTAATTTTATAGTAATGTACAAAATATCTTACCTACTGTATATTACATTTTTAATCATGCATCCCAAAATGAAGAGAATGTATTAGGATTATCTCAAATCTTTCTGATGACATTGCTTTTTAAGATATAAATGTATTTCATCTACCTTCTATGTTGAACACAACATACAGAGAAAAATCAATACTAAACTCATAAAACGTTTATATCTGAGGGCATTGACCCAAGACTACTCTTTTCCCCCAATTCTTCAATAAAATAACCATCTTTCAACAGCACACAACACAACCAAACATAACATTTGCAAAAACAGAAGCACTCCTTTTACTTAAAAGGATTTCAGGCTCTCAGCATCTATTTCTTTCAGCATAACACTGATTTTCATGTGAAATCTTAAATTAATCTTGTTTATCATCTAATCCAAGTAATCTCTAAAATCACAATATTTTTAGTATCTATTTTGGAAGCTTGTTTTTGCTTTGAACATAGTGCATTAAGTATTGCTTATAAATACTGTAGATAAATGTCTACTGAATACATCTTAATTGTCTATTTATTTAACAGTATGTAACACTTCCAGTTGTGTGTAACGAATTTGTATGCATTTGAAAGCTAGAAGAAAAGTATTTAGCTTTACTTTAAGTAGAAAGTTAAAAGATTCGATCTTCAATCTTCAAAAGCACCGATTCTGCATTTCAAATCAGTTCAGGTATTTTATTCCATCGTTCCTCAAAGACTGAAAAGCATATCACCAAGTAAAAGCTGATCTGAACATTTTCACTACAATGTAGTATTTTTTAAAAAACAAAAGGCTTTTAGAGTGTGCATATAGAAAGGGATGTAGTTATACTTTTCTCCTTAATTTCAGTTTCCTAGATTTTCCCCACATTTGATCATTTCTCTCATTTTGTTGAGAGTAAATTTACTAGGCAACATATTTTGAAAATTACCTTGTATTCTCTGATTTTCGAGATTGCTGCAAATAATATCTTTTTCACAAGGGTTGCTGTTGGACTGACTAATCTCACATAATTTTCCCTATCACAAGCATACAGAGGCTAGTTCAGAACAAATACTTATATTCAAAGAAAAGACTGTTGTTTTAAAACAATCATTTATCCTTCTATCCATTTTCTATCCACTCTATCCAATTCAGATTAATGGTCGAGCCAGAGCCTTAAAAGGCAAGCAATGGGTGCAAGGTAGAGTACATACTTGAAGAGAAGTGCGTGCCTCACACAACACACAAAGACAGACACATACTGTACACACTCACACCAGAACCAATCTTTCCAGAAGCCAATTAACCTACCGGTATGTCTTTGGACTGTGGGAGGAAGCACCTGGAGAAAACCCACACTTACATGTGGAGAACATACAAACTCAATGCAGATAACACTCCAGGTCCAGCATTGAACCCAGGGCCCCAGCACTGCAAGGCAGCAATGTTAACCACTGTACCACTGCATCAGAATTTGTAGAAAGCATGACTACTTGTAAAGTGAGATGAAATATACAGTATAACAGGAAGATGTTTTTAAAGGACACACCAGGTCTTCAATTGGGATTAAAAAATTCTAAAGTGTTTTGATTTATTTTAGTCACAAATAGAGCAGGATTTACATAGGAGTGCTCCAGATATTGTTTTTGACATACTTAGATACTTTTATATTGCTTAAATGGCTTGTTTTGCTTTTGCTAAAAAGAAAAGGGAAGCAAAGATTTTAATAGGAAAAATTTGGAAAAATAGGAAAAACATTTTTCCCAACTACTTTTCATTTTCAGCTTTTTTTCCATTTTGCAGTATTCTAGATTTCATGCCCAGAAATAAAATGTCTTGCTTTCCAGCCAATTCTGATATAATCTCCTCATGAGCTGAAAGGCAGTTTTCCATATGAGCTTACTCTGCTTGTGTGTGATGTATCATGAACTCTTCACTGCAAGTTAACTATCAAAACTATCAAAATTACATAAAAAATCACTTGAAATGAAAATGAAATCATCGCGTTCTGTGGTTTTAAATGTGACTTTTATATTGAAGTTAGTTGGTGTTGTATGTTGGCAAGTTAAACAGGATGTGTTTTGTCTAAAACATACTGTTATGTCATGTTATTAACTGCAAGAATGTTGTGACATTAGAAAATAAATATTACATTATTCTAAAGACATGCTTGCTTTATAACGCTATTCGCATTATTATTGCCTTATACTTAGTGCCTTATAGTAGTGCCAATGATACAACAAAGGAAACCTTAATGCAATAACACCACCTAAAACCCATTAGTGTTAATAACAGCACTGGGAAAACAATTTGACAAACTTACGCTGCCTTCTACCATTCCTCAGGGCTTTGTCCCAGATAGAAAATCTAGGTTTTTTGCCTAAGCTGTGATAGTCGTGGTGTGTATAGTTATATCTCCAGTGACATTATACCAGTTGTGTGTTAAACCATTTGTATTTAAGGATTTATGAAAAAAATGAACAGCCAGCACATGCCTATTAAGAACCAAAAAAAAATGAACATGGAATTTAACCTGAAATGATAATCATGTAATTCTCATGAGAAACTTTACAGTGTCTTTTAAATGCTCGTCATCCTACTGTATATCATGACTCAAGGTGGTAAAGGGTTTAGCTATACCACAGGTCTATAAATAACACCTTAATAAAGAAACAGAGATTAGGGTTTCATTGTGTTGAACAAATTAACCAGCCTTGTGATAAAATGTCATGAAACTCGGAGACAATTACTCTGCAATTACTCATGCAAATATAAAAACCCAGTTTCATCAAATTGTGCTGATCTTTCTAACAGGGTGGTACCATATCTGGGATGTAGTGTAAAATATGCAACAAAATGCAAGTACAAAATAATCTAACCCATTTAGCAGATTGAAAATTAATTTAAGCAACATGCACCCACATTATAAATACTGCTTTTGTCAAGCTGCCATAACTAAACATATTTTTTATCACCTGTTTTTGGCTATTGGTCTGAGACATTTGATTTTAAATAAATTTTTGTACAGTGTGTGCAAAATGCAAAAAAGTAAACTGAGTAGCATCTCTGTCTCCACTGATAAAGAAGGACCAAAATACATGTTTTAACATAAGAAGGACAATATATTTTGTGACAATAGAAGCAATTTCAACAAAAGAGCTTGAATTTATCTGGGAAGGTTTTCTTTGCATTTAATCTACACTAAGATTTCATTACTCTGAAGAAAATTATCCAAAAGCTCTGTTAAGGAATAAGCAGAAAAAGTAGAGCTTTTATTCCTCTCTTTTGTGTAAAACACAAGCACAACATGCAACTCTTTTCTGCAGCATTTCAGTTTATTGAGTGACAGAAATGCTTTTTCTTGATTTAATTTGTGTTATGTGTTTTTGAAATATGCAAAGAAGGCACAAATATAGATTAATATAAAATAATGCTTTGGAAAGTAAAAGTCAGACAAGGTGAAGTCTTTTTTTCCTGTGTATGTTTTATACCACATCCAAGCAACACAATCAACTAATTCAAGAGCGTGTATTTCATCTAGCTGGACAGTCCACTTTACTGTAGCATATTTTCTGTTAAAACTGTTACTTTGTTCAGTCAGCTTGCCTATGCGCATGATTTAAAATAAAGCCCTTTATCTGTTCAGGCAGGGCCACCAAGCAGCTCATTCAAATAGCTGATGTCCTTTTTGATAAGAGCCAATGGAAAGCTCTGATATAGTTGGACCGAGAAATGGCACACTCACTGTTGATGTACAAAGATCTGACTACTGCCTGCAGATTCTTAATTTCCCAGAGACAATGCCTAGCTCTCTGAATGATGTGTAGCATGTGGGAATGCTTTACGTGTATTCTTTATTAAGAAAAAATTAATAAAAGGACTCATTTTACACAAGGCCATTTGTGCCAGGCCCAGTCTACTGTAATCAAAGCCACCAGTGTGCCTTCAGAGACTAATCATTTCCAATTAAGTTGTGATCCCACCTCCTTTCGACAGCAGATAAAAAGCTTACCGCTTCACAACAGCTGGCTCTTCAGTTCAAACTTGAGGACACTGAGGGGTCTCCTGATTGTTCTGTATAGAAAAATCATTCTTGATGTTTTTTCCACATAAAGCTTAGATCCTGATGTACTGTACAAACTAAAAAATGGATCACACTTCAAAACAGGTCAACTGGTCCAAAATGATATGTAGAAATTGATATTCTTATATATACTGGCATATTTAAAGACATTTGATAAAATTACAAAAATACAGACTTAGCAAACTGCTGTATTTTTATTATTTTAACAAAATATTACCAACGCCCTGGCACTGAGAAATCCGTATATGAAATAGTCATTTTTATAAAAATCCATGATAGTATTCTGTTTCAATCCAACAAAATGCCTGTTGCAAGTCAATGATTTGCATAAGTATTCTCTTTCTCAGTCAGTCAGCATTTGTAAACAAACTGAACTGCTGTTTTTAATAGACGTCAGAATGATGTGTTCTGCGTGGACTGTGAGGAATTTAGCACAAAGGTATTTTATATTAAATATGCATCCCCCTTTGTCCCCCAAAGCCTCTTTTCCTAGTGATGGTCAGAGCCTGTCCCAGAAGCTTGAGATGGGACTGCTCTCCCCTTGG